GCATATACACTTACCAGAAAGAGAGAGTGGAGTTGAGTGGGGATAGTAAGTGGAGCAGGAGAAAACACTCCATAGTCATGATGCATCCTTTCTCTTCCATTAATCCATCCAGGCTCCTTTCCATGTGGATCCCAATGTGCCACCATCCAGCCCTCATTAGTCTTGATTTTTAAGCACATCCAGGAAAAGGTTGACCCAAGGCTCAGACTCTGCCCACCTGAAACGGAACCACACAGTCTCCAGACTAATCCCACAAATGTATACATCTTTATACTCTCTGTAGAGTATATGTAATAGATGGAGAGGGAAATGGTGCTTGCACATCCACCATCTCTGTAGGCCCAAGTCATATCCAGTCTTCAAGGTACTCTCATTCCAGCAAACATTCCCAAATTTGTCATACCCTCTCTTTTTTTATACATCAAATGTCATTTAATCCTCATAGGTGCAGAATTTAATTTGATTCATCCTAAGTCTCAGTTTAAAAAATACATTAGTGGGGACTAAATAGTGGTGCAGTGGTAGAACATGACATCCTGCAAAGCTAACCCAAATGTGAATGTTCCCAGTTCATATCTGCAGACTTCCCAAGTATCCCTGGCATGTGTGTGCCCATAATCTGGCACTGACTGAGGATGGATCATGGTGTCAAAATCCTGTTGGGTGTTTGCTCTCTCTTTCTCTTGGCAGAAATAGACTTTTAAAAACACATTTTCATTGGTTCCTGCATGGTCAAAATCTTTTATCGATTTTTACTTGTAATAATTTAGTATATCCACAGAAACACCACTAAAACAGGGAAATTAGAAAATTGAGAATAAGTTATATCAACTTCTGTGGTCTTATCCTCTGCCTCTCTCACCTGAGGGAACTTCTTACCATAATTTTTTTTATAGACACTTTATGGTGTATATATATATATAGAGAGAGAGAGAGAGAGAGACTCCTGGGCCCTTTGCATAGAATTCATTGTCCTTCATGGGCAATTGGGAAAGTTCCAACCTTGAATCATAGAACAGTAGGCTTCACTCTCTAGGATCCACCTTTATAGATTCCTTTATAACACCCCGGGACTTAAACTGGGAATAACCTTGCCATACACCCGCAAGGTTATGCTCTTCCCCTTGCAGACCTCATTAATTATGCATACATAATACAACACATGGCTTTAGGATATATAAGTCCAAATAAGTCCTGGGGCTACGTAACCCAATTTTACAGTGCCCTGGTTGAGGACAACAAAAAACAAAAACCTGAAGAGTATCACCCATCTTCATTTAGGTCACTCAGATAAGATTACATGGGTGCAATTCTGCAACAATACTTACTTTACTTGGGGTTCAAGTATACAATAATAAATTCCTCTTTAATTTTCCCTTTTACCCCATTCTTCCACTGTTAAAGCCAGCAAAGCTTTTTAAAAAATTAAAAACAAACTAAATAAACAAAAACCTCTTTATGACACTCATTGCACAAGCCTGTCCTATCTTCCACTCACTCAACTCTTCATTGAATAGTATCTTAGTTTCACTGGCTTATTTTATTTGTTTTGTTCATTTTATAGAATTGTGTGTCTCTGCACATATTCATTAAGACAAATTTAAATCAAGACCTAGAACATTTTCATAATCCCAACATTGTTTCTCACTATTTAACAGTCAATTCTTCTTCCATGGCATCTATTGCTCTGATTGTTATTCCTATTAATGGGTTTTATATTTTCAAACTTCATATAAGTGAGATAATACAGTGTTTACTCTCTTGTCCTTCTGCTAAATATAATCTGTAAGAGCAATTCATATTTTTGCATGCATCATTAGTTCCTTTTAATTTATTGTTGAAAAATAGTTAATAGCAAGAATATACCTATGATCAGCAGATGGCATAATGGTTACATTGCTGGACTTCCACATAGTTGACTGCCATTCAAATCCTGGATTTGGTGGCTTAAACCTCATGCCAGGCGTGTGTGCGTGTGTGCCCAAAATCCCCTCACACCAGGCGCGTGTGCGTGTGTGCCCAAAATCCCAAGAGAAAAATGGAGGAGAAAGGATTGCAGCATGGCCATCCCCCAAGGGAGTGATTTCTCACTTTCTTTCTCTCTGTGTCTCTTCAGTGACCACATACACCCTATAGCAAAAGTCTATCTTTAAAAAAATGTGTATATATACATATATGTATATGTGTATATATATAATTTCTTCAATTGATTGACATTGAATTTTTTAAGTTTTGGGCAATTGTGAATAATGAACATAATTCTACAGCTTGTTTTGTATATCCGTAGTTATTGTTCTTGGGTACATAGATAAGAGTGATATTACTTGATCATGCTGTTTTGAGAATTTGAAAATAATTTTTCAAAGCAGTGGTGTCATATTACACTTTAATCAGCAATGAACAAGAACTATAGACTTGTTTGTCCATAGTTGTCTTTATTTCCCCTTTGTTATTGAAAGATAGTTTCAATAGACACAGAATTCTGGGTTGACAGTTTTCTGTTTTAGTTTTTGTTTTGCAGGACGTTAGCTGGCCCATTTTCTCCCGGGCTGCCTACTTCCTGATAAAAAAGAAATTTTAAAAAATCTGTTGTGTAGGGACCAGCAGATGGTGTGGTGGTTAAGGGCCCTGGACTCCCACATAATTGACTGTGGTTCAAATCCATGGTGGCTTGCTTTCTCACTTTCTCAGTCTCTCTGCCCAGCCCCCTCCCCATCAAATTTAAATAAATAAATAAATAAAGTTTAATTAAATAATTCTTTTAAAAAAATCCTATCGTGTGTATCTTTTATCTTTAGTCCTCTGCATGTAGCAGTTTCCCCTTTTCTGACTGCCTTCAAGATTTCTCCTCAACTTGTATTTCGTCTACTTGACTATAACATGTCTAGGTATATTGTTTTATTCTGGCTTGGAGTTCTCTGACCTTTTAAAATCTGTGGCTTATTCCTTTAATTTTGGAAATACTCTGGCCATTGTATCTTCACATATTTCTTCTGCCTCATACTCTCTTTTCTTCTGGGAGTAACTTCACATGTTAAATTGCTTGCTTTTGTCTCACACTCTTAAATCCCCTGTTCTGCTTCCCCCTCTCCACAACACATACACTTTTTCTCTTTGTGCTTTTAGTTTGGATAATTTCTATTGACCTATCTTTAAGTTCATTGATTGTATTTTCCTTAGTTGTCTTCAGTCTGCTGATAATCCCATCGAAGGAAATTTTTACCTCTGACATTGTTTTCCAGTTGATTCTTTTCTTATTGTGTGCATCTTTCTGCTTAAGTTCTTTATTGTTCATACATGTTGTACATGTCTCCATAATTCCCTTAATATATCAAGCATGGTTATTTAAAATCTCTGTCAAATATTTCCAACATCCTGGTTATCTATGGGTCTGATTTTGTAATGTTTCAGCTTTTGACAATGGGTCTAGTCTTCTGTTTTGTTTTTTCCTTAGTGTGTGTGTGTGTGTGTGTGTGTGTGTGTTGTAATTTTTGATTGAATGCCAGACATCATAGAAGGATGTTTAAGACTAATGTATCTATACCAAAATCAGACATTCCTCTTATACCAAGCTGTTAATGGAGTGGACTTAGGGTTCAGTCAATCTCATGAGTCTCTGAGCTGGCTTTGATCTTATTGTTACCTTCAATGCACCAGAGTCTTCTGATTCTTTCAGTGGGTGGGGTGCTTTTCTTTTGCACTTAGTGTGAGATGGGGAGTTTCTCTATGTCCTGTTCCACCCTTCACTTTCAGAAATACTTGCACACTTGTAACAGATTCTTGCCTGTCCTCTAGAAGAAACAGCTCTTTCTGGCATTTGTTGGCCAATTCTCTTCTGAGGAGAAGAGGTCTGTATCTCTCCAGTCCAGTCTCCATCCAGGATTAAGCCTGCATCCTAGTCCATTATTGTGTCATTAACAGAAATACCTGAGACTGATTTGTAAAGAAATAAATGTTTATTTGACTCACAGTTCTCATAACTGGAAAATCCAAATGTGTGAAGCTGGCATCAGGCTGGCTACATGACAACATGACCAGCAGAGGCAGAGAGGATGACAGGCATGTGTAGAGAAAGGAGACCTAGAGACAGCTCTCTTCCTTTTATAACAACCCACTCTTCAAGAACTAACCCTTTCCCATGAGAACTAGAACCCACTAGGTCTTGTAAGACATCATTAATCTATTTATGAGAATGATGCCTCCATGATCCAGTCATCACCCTCTAGGCTGCACCTCCCCACAAAACCATTATACTGGGGACAAATTTGTAAAATATTAACTTTTAGGGAACAAAAGATTGTTAAAACCATAGCAGCATGTGTGCCTCTGCTTTAGAATAAGACTTCTACACACTTCTACCTCCAGGAGAAGCCAAACTCTGTTTTATTATCTGTGGTGGCTCTTAAGAGAATTCCAGCACTATTCCACGGCATAGTCAACCTCTGGTTTTTGCTGGTATGAGCTCTTGGGCCCAAGAGACTTACTGAGGGTCAAAGGACTGTTTATAAACAGCCTTCATTAGCAGTTTGTGTCAGATCTTAATGCTGCTCTCCATTAGCTGAAGGCTTCGGCTCTACCTGAGAGGAGCAAAGCAAGCTGTGTTATTAGGGTTCCCCGGAGCAGCTAGTCATCCTCCTGTCCCATCTGTGAAACTCGTTTTTCTCCCAGTGTTTCTTATGAAAGAGAAAGAGCAACCAGAGACCTTGGGTCTTGCATATGGAACCTGAGACTAAAAACTCTGCCAAGTGTCCCATCTTTGGTTTTCCTATACCAGTTGTCTGGTCAAAGCTCCTCCCTCTGTGTGAGCAGGATTCCTCTGTGTGGGGGGGTGGGCAGGGCTCCTCTCTGTGGCCAGTCAGGGCTCTTCTGTGTAGGACATGGTCTTTTGTTTGGATCAACAGGGCTCTTCTCATTAGTGGGCCCCCTGCTGTCCACTGGGAACAAGAACCTCACTTGTGTGCAGGCAAGAAGTCCTTACCTGGTTACCCATCTCTGGACAGGTGATATACCAGATGAGCTACAGGAGGTCCAGCTTCCCCTGATCCCAGTGCTTCTTTGCCAGCTGCTTTATGGACACCCATCTTTCATTCTGAAGGACATGCTGTGTGCTGGAGACATTGGAAACAGGAAGACCGCATGTGAGGTGCATCTCCCACCTGATTGGTTTAAGTTGAGGGGCTGGATTGGGGAACCCGGGTGGCTACATGCAGAAGAGACAGGGACCTAGTGCCTCCATGGACTGCAGTGGACTCTGATGTCAGGTGCCTTCTAACTATGGACGGGGAACCTAAAGCCATGCACACATTGCTGCTGTAGGAGCATGCATGAATGCTACACACCTGCAGCAGATCTTGGCCATAAGTCTCTGAGTTCTACTGTAGCTGGTAATAGAGTTATGTAAGTGGAGTGGGGTGGAGGGAGCACTGACCCTGTCTCAAAATGTCTTCACTGGATCACTCCTCCTGCACCTGTGAGGCAGATGCAGGAGGCAGCAGATCCTGGACTTCCTGTCCACAGAAAATTCCCTCTTCCTTTCCAGGGTGATTCTGGGGGACCACTCGTCTGTGAACTCAACCACATCTGGGTGCAGATTGGAATTGTGAGCTGGGGTCGTGGTTGTGCCCAGCCTGTGTATCCCACAGTGTTTGCCCGAGTCTCCTATTTCTCAAATTGGATACATAATAATGTAGAAACCACACCTAATCCTCCTCTGCCAGCCCCCGCCTTCTCTCCCACTCTAAGGGCCACTCTTAGTGTCCTTGTGACTATGCTGGCTGGTCCATCAGTGTTGTGAGGGATGAGAAACAACCCCTTACCCCTGACTTCCACATAGCTACATACCCTGACTCTGTCTAGTTGCAGCTCCCTCCATCCCACCTCAGACGCCAGACCTCTGCATACCTCCTGATAGGTTCTCTTTGGAGCTGGATGAGGGCCATCCATCCAGGTCCTGAAGATGAAAGGATAGTGAAGGACTGATTCAAAAAACAAGAGTCAGGGGGCCAGGGAATGCCCAAGAAGGCAGAAAGGAAATCGAGGGAGAGCCAAGAGCTTGGACTGAGTGCATTCGAGATTTAATAAGGTCATTAAATATTTATGAAGCACATATCTTAGAATTGCTGTATTGATCTTTCCACCCTGGAGCTGCTGCAGGTGCCCTCTGTCCACTCAGAATGGAGGGCCCATCCTTCCCTCCTGACACAGCAGCCCCACAGTTAGGGTGAGATAGGGCCTATGGCATGGAAACACAGTACAAACCACACTGAGCCTTTCTAGAAACTGATGGTTACCCAGACACCTGAATGTGTCACATGTAATCACAGCTATGGCTAGAGGGAATGTCCTTATTTAAATATTTAAGTCTATAAATATAAAAGCTTTTGCAGATGTTTAAATATCCAGTTTGAAAAAAAAAAAAAAAGAAAATGTGAGTTGGGAGTAGGCACAAGTAAGGAACTAAAAAGAAAAAGGCAGAAATCAATAAGTCCAAAATCAGAAAAACAGTAATATTTCAAAAATCTGCTTTATAAAAAAAAAAAAAAAAAAAAAACCAGAGTGGGAGGGAGGTAAGGATGGGCCCATAGCCCAGTGGTTAAGGGAAATCAGATCTCACCTGACTGATTGCAGTTCAGATCCCTGCCCCAGTGACCTGAAAATCACACCAGGCATGTGTGTGCATGCTCCAGATCTTAGCAGGATAGAGGAATGGAGGAGAAAGGAATGTGTCCACTATGATCATACCCCACGGGGGGCGGGGGGAGGGGCGCGGAGGGTCTCTCTCTCTCTCTCTCTTTTCTTTCTCTCTTCTCTCTCTGTCTCCCTCTCTTCTGTCTTCCTCTGGCAAGTGTACATGCCCACTGGCATTTTTTTTTAATAGGGAAACCTAATCAAGATAGAAAATAAAATTTAAAAAAACTCCACAAAATAAGAATGACAAGGAGGAGTATCCATTAAAACAGAAGATATAAGAAATCATGAAATATTATACAACTATGTAAATAAATTTAAATTAAAAATAACACTTTGGGGGCCAGCAGGTGGCATGGTGTGGTTAAGTGCTGGACACTCCCACATGGCTGACCATGGTTTGGGTCCTGGACCTGGTGGCTTGCTTTCTCACTTTCCCTCTCTTTCTCTCTGTGTCTCTCTCTGCTCACATTAAAATAAATGAATAAATAAATAAAAACTAAATAAATAATTCTTTAAAAAATAACACATTTTAGGAAGAAAACTTTTACCAAAACTAGTCCCAGTAGAGATAAAAGGTTTAAACAGACCAAATTCCATAGAAGAAATGGAGAAACTTAAGAAAGAAACATCCACTCCCAGGAAAAGCCCTGGACAAGGATGGTTCCCAAACTTTCAACTACGGAACATTGCATTGCTACCAGGCATCGATGATGGAAGAAAACCTCCAAATTCTCTGTAGGAGCAAATATATCTGAATACACAAATCCGACATAACATTACACAGAAAAAGATTAATATAACATGGTTCA